AGAGAGAGAGAGAGAGAAAAAAAAGTTGCATAAATTCCTGACTTAAATATTACTATATGACAAATTAATTTTGATAGCATACAAAAAGATAGGTGCAGCAAAAATTTGAAAGGAGGAAAAAAGATTTTGGCGCACTTAAATTGGTTTGAAATTGCTCAAAATACATAAAAATTAAATCATGCATGAACGGAGACACTTGTACATTTCAATTATTAAGTTGCTTGTAGTTAGCAATAAATGACATAATCTAGGCTGGGTGAGGTGGCTCATGCCTGTAATCCCAGCACTTTGAAAGGACAATGCATTCTAGCCTGGGTAACAAGAGCAAAACTCCATCAAAAAAAAAAAAAAAAAAAAAAAAAAAAATCTAATCTGATTTTGTACCTGAAAAATCACTTATTTTAGCATAGAATCTTACCATTTCTCTTCTTCTTTCTTCTTCTCTTTCAGCTTCTTTCTCATATTCCCGGGTTTTCTTTCGTTCTCTAATTTCCCAATTCTTAAGGCGCTAAAAAAATTAAATTTTCAAAGCTTTAAAAATTTATATATAGTGTCCCATAAATTTTTATTAACCTATTAAGGGATATCAAAGCTTTAAGAATAAAAGCATTTGCTCAATTTACCTCTTGATAAGCAGCTTCTTTCTCTCGGAGTTTTCTTTCAAGTTTTCGTCGTTCATATGCATCTTCTTCATCTTCTTCTCGGTCCCGTTTTTTGTCTTTTTCTCTTTCTCGCTCCCGTTCCCTCTCTCGCTCTCTCTCTCGCTCCCGTTCTCGTTCTCGCTCTCGTTCTCTCTCTCTCTCTCTTTCCCGCTCTCGTTCCCTTTCACGATCTCTACTTTTTTCTCTAATGCAAACAAAATTTTTTTACACATCTGTGAGTCTACTGTTTTCCTTTCAAGACAAAAGGAAAGGAGGGCAACATATATTATGAAATAATATAAATCTCACAGACCAGAATCTAGCACTTGATTTCCACAGAACTATATAACCTCCTCTACACACATCAGAAAGACATAATTCCCGTCCCAAATCCTAAACTGCATTCATTCTAATGTCGGTGTTAATGCTTACTGGTATGTCGGAAAACAAATACATCCTGAATATAAAACAGTTATAAGTCATTCAAATGAATGATTAGTTAATGCCCATATGCTGGAATATTAGTCAATCACATGATAGTGTAAAACAGAAAAAAAGGAAAACTATTAATTCCCAAAAGAAACATGACGGACTAATGAATACGTTAAGAGATAGTTTACCTTACTAGTGATCAAGGAGTAAGAGCTGGCAAACACGGAAAACAGAATTTTGAGATGCTGCATGGATAAAGTCAGAACTTACAAGTATCAGCACTGAATGTTCCCAATATTCAATATTTAGTGATAAAATCTAGGCCAGGCACAGTGGCTCATGTTTGTAATCCCAGTACTTTGGGAGGGTGAGGCAAGCGGATCACAAGGTCAGGAGTTTGAGACCAGCTTGGCCAACGCAGTGAAACCCCATCTCTACTAAAAATACAAATAAAATTTGGTAGGTGTGGTGGCGGGCACCTGTAATCCCAACTACTCAGGAAGTTCAGGCAAGGGAATCGCTTGAACCTGGCAGGCAGAGGTTATGGTGAGCCAAGATTGTGCCATTGCCCTCTTGCCCAGGTGACAGAGCTAGAGTCTATCTCAAAAAAGTAATAAAATCTAATCCCAGCATTTTGAGAAGCTGAGGCAGGAGGCATGCTGGCATGTGCCTGTAGTCTTAGCTACTCCAGAGGCTAATGTGGGAAGATCCCCTAAACCCAAAAATTCTAGCTTACAGTGATCTATGATTGTATCACTGCACTCCAGCCTATGCAACGGAGCATGATCTCAAAAACAAAACAAAACAAAACAAAACAAAACAAAACAAAACGAAAAAACAAAAAACAAAAACAAAAAAAGGCTGGGGGCGGTGGCTCATGCCTGTAATCCCAGCACTTTGGGAGGCCAAGGGGGGATCACCTGAGGTCAGGAGTTCAAGACCAGCTTGACCAACAGGGAAAGAACCTATCTCTACTAAAAATATAAAATTAGCTAGGTTTGGTGGGGCACGCCTATAATCCCAGCTACTCAGGAGGCTGAGGCAGGAGGACTGCTTGAGCCTGGGAGGCGAAGGTTGCAGATCACCAACACTTCACTGCTGGATGACAGAGCAACACCTTGTCTCAAAAAAAAAAAGAATTCACAAACACTTTTAAATAAAAAATAAAACCTTCCAAAGAATAAAAGAGCCAGAGGTAGATAGTAAACATATAGACAGAAAAGTTAAGCTGTGGAAGTGTAGTGGGCTACAAAACCAAATAAACATGCTAGTGGCTAAAAAGACGTGGTGCTAGAGCTGACGTTTCAGTATACAGAACTTCAGCTAAAGAGCAACTAAAAAAATGTCCACGGACCCAGGGGGTGACAGCAGGGAGTCATGTCTCCCCAGAATACTGAGTGGCCACTATGTTTCTTTAAAAAAAAGTGGCATTAGACAGAAATTAACCAGAATTGAAAATTATTACTTTCACCAATTTTGTGTGTGTGTGTGTGTGTGTGTGTGTGTGTGTGTGTGTGTGTGTGTGAGAGAGAGAGAGAGAGAAAAAGAGAGAGAGAGAGAGAGAGACAGGCAAAGACATGTTGCCTTTAAAAAAATTCTCAGGCCAGGCGCAGTGGCTCATGCCTATAATCCCAGCACTTTGGGAGGCTGAGGGAGGAGGATCACTTGAGGCCAGAAGTTCAAAACCAGGCTAATCAATATAGCAAATCCCCACCTCTACCAAAAATGAAAAAATTAGCTGGGCATGGTGGCACAAACCTGTAATCCCAGCTACTTAGGAGGCTGAGGAATGAGAATCACCTGAACCCAGGAGGCAGGGACTGCAGTGAGCCAAGGTCTGCCACTGTACTCCAGCCTATGTGACATGACAGAGTAAGACTGTCTCACACTCACAAAAAAATTCTCTCATTCCATGAATGCAAATGGTACTCTGGAAGACTACCTGGTAGTTCTATTAAAGCTATCAGGAAATAGTGACTTCTGTAAAGCCTTACCTTGAACGACTTCGATCCTTATTACGGTCTGAGCTCCTTTCTCGATCCCGGTCACGATCTCTCTCTCGATCCCGATCTCGGTCTCTCTCTTTTGTCCGGTCACGGTCCCTATCCCGTTCTCGTTCCCGCTCCCGTTCCTTCTCCTTTTCTCGTTCACGTTCTCTTTCCCTTTCTCGTTCCCGTTCTCGCCTTTCTCGTTCCCTTTCACGCTCCCTCTCTCTTTCTCTCCGTTCTTTCTCAATTTCCTGTCTTTCTTTTTCCTTTTTGCCTTTCTCTTCTTCCAGTTTCTAGAAACCAATAAAAGCACTTTTAGAGTTAACTCTGTAGCTCCAGTATTCAGGTATTTCCCGGCGCAATGCCCAATACTGGGAACAAAACACCAAACCACTGATACATTAATATTAAATACTTGTGGTTTTATGTGACAAATTAAACTGAAGCAATCACAAGACTAGAAGGATTTCGTGCAAAACCATATACTCTACACAGACCAGGAATCTCCAATCTTGGATGCTGGGAGATCGTGTTAGGTGTGGCTGGCCACTCAATGACTATGTACTAACTAAAATGACCATGAAGAAAGTGGTTTGAAATATTTTCTATAAATACAATCACTTGGGTAAAACTCAACTCTGTCCATTATGGATTTCTGTAAATCCACAAATTTATTAATACTAATTATAATCCCAGACGGCATATTACCTAAAGTTGAGGGTTTCAAAGGGCAGGTGGTGCAGAATACCCATAATGCAACTAAATAATCTCTGCCCTCCGATTTGCCCACCCTCCAAAAGAAACACAAACTGAATTCAACAAGAACTGCCTTATTATCTATGGAAACATTTACTCCCACCATTACAAGATGGACAGCCCACCAAATACAAAAAGTTTGAAAATCACTCACTTCAAGCAAAATATATATAACTGTAATCGTTTCATTTAAAATATTTAAAAGCAATATACTTATGCCCATTATGCCTGTAAGACAATGAAAATATATTTACAATGATAAATCCATCCTTGGAAGGAACGATTGTGCATTAACTTACAGATGCTGTGCTAGGACATGGATCGCCAACACTGGATTAACCTTCCCTACAAGCTATGTTTCTGGGAGGAAGAGCAAGTACATGGTTCACAAATAAACCAAATAACAAAGTCAGACCAAGTTTGTACCCTGACAAGATTACCAGTGTACCACACGGTTTCTACACAAACTCAGAAAAAAATATCCCAAACAGATAAAACAAAACAAAACACATTTATCCCTTTTGTTTCATGTTTAGTTTCACCAAAATGAAATTTAAACTGCAACAATAAAATGTGCATTTTTCTTTTCTCAGTCATGTAATGCATTTAAAACAACTTTAAAAAGCAATCTTACCTGTCAGATACTCTTTTTCTCTTCCTCATGGATCAGAGAACTGATAGCAGATTATGAAAGAGAAGCTAATGTATGAGCAATATATTCAGTTGCTGTGCCGGTCTATATCAAAGTAGAATGCAGGCAAAGCCAACACTGAATACATTGAAATTACAAAGGGATGAAATGAGAAATGATAGAAAGAGGACAGAAACTGACAACTATTAAAGGGGGAATATCTCATTTCTGAAACAGTTCTAATGAATATAAAAATTTATATTGTAAAATGAGGCTAGACTATATAAAACTTACCTCAATGGCATACACTTAAAAAGAAATTTGTTTATTTCTGAAATAAATACTTACAGAATATTTTAGCTGTTCCAATACTAATTTTTCTTGTAGAATTCCTCAATTTTTAATTCTTATTTCACTGTGCTACTTATATTCAGTTATATAAATAACCATTTGTTTCAGGACTCATTTCAAAAGTTTGGTTCTAAGTAAATGAAAAAGTGAGTGAATCTAGTCCACACTAAATGTTTCCTAAAAGTTTATATATGATATATATATATATATATATGTATATAAATATATGTATACATGTAAACCTACATATACATGTATATTTTTTAGGACTGGAGAAAGGAAGTGAGGCAAATCTAAAATTATGTAAGAAAGTAATGAAGAGAAAAGGACAGATTAAAAAATCATAAATCTTACCTTATTCTCTCTTCAGACTCATCCGTGCTGTAAATGGACGCCCCCTGCCACGCTGATACCCTGACAGTCTGTGGTTATTTAATAAACTCATACCAAAACATGCAAAGGTTCACTGAGCTCATTTTTTGTTACTGGAGTTTCAGACAACCCTTTTAGCCAAACCACCCAATAAAAAAAAAAAAAAAAAAAAAAAAAAAAAAAAAAAAACATAATCTAAAAAAAAAAAAAAAAAAAAAAAAAAAACGGTTTTTGGTTTTTCATTTTGATTTCTTTTTATTTTTAAAAGACATTCTGAAAATTCAAAACATTTCCTCCAGTGAATACTACTAAGGCAGTGAAATGCCAAACAGATTCGCAAACTTTAAAGCAAATATATTTTTGAATTTTTCTTAAAACATGATTTTCTCATCATTTACCAATAACAGGACAGGGTTTAACAAATAAATAAAAACAAAAAGGGGGTAAACCACACACACAATCATATATCATTTTTAAGCTTACTCGGTCCTGAATTTGAGTATTATACCTAACCAAAATGATTCAGCTAAAATGATTTCCCACAGACCACCTTTTCAACTCTCAAAATTAATTTTGGGAGAATTGTTCGGGCTTTTAGACACATTTAATTCTTGAAAAAGCACTGTGTATGTGAGTGAGGGCTGGGCATCTGGATAATAAGTGTTCATTGGCATTATTTGTAAATTTGAGATTTTGAAAGCAATGGGAAAATGTAAAAGAGAAAATGAACATTTAACATTACACTGAGTTAAAGATCTCTCAGTCTATCAGTAAGAACCAGCAACACCTTACTACCTCTAACATCAAAATACATTTCACGCAGTGTTTGCATTGCACCGTCCAAAAGCATCATTTTCAACACCAGTGAACATTCACAGATGCACTGTCATTGAGAGAAGCTTCAAATAGGCAAAACTCGTGAGTGGGATTTACTAGGCATAAATACCCATTTCCAAGCCAGTTACCCCTTTGCATATTTTTCTGAGGGGGCATCCATAAATATAATAAAAAACAGAAGCTCATACTTACATCCTATTCCTTGTTACTTTCCAAGCTGAGAGTTTCATCTTGCATTAGTCACCATATGATCTCTATCATAATGGTGGGGGTCAATGAATAGATTAGCTTTATGGGAATTTACAGTTCTTCCATGCATCTAAAATTTGGTAAGTCTGGTAACCACTGACCTACTTTTTAATATCTCCCCCACTCAACTTAAATCTATACAAATATAATTGTAAATTTTAATCTCAGCTCTAAAGAAAAAGTTTTCCTAAGATTAAGTTAAATAACTGCCCCCAGAAAAACACTAGTGTATGTTATCCTGCTGCCCACTAAATCTAAGTCTGACCTTGATGTTTATGTTGAAATCTAAAAATTAAATTAGCTTCTATGCATATTAAAGTGAGATGACTGCAGAATAGTTAGTAACTGAAAAAACTAAGTACAATATGTCAAGGACCACTTTAATATGGTATTGGTCTTCTGTTTCTTTTTTTTCTGTCTAAATATCAATTAAACCTATAAAAAGCATTTACAACTATATTCTAATTTAAGGTTGATTTTTTTTTGTCTCTTTGGATTCTGTAAAAAGTCTAGATTGGTATTAAGTGAAAAAATAAGAATACTACCTTATGTGTGTCTCTGAATTTGCTGATCTCTCGAGATATCAGGTCTCTTTTGTCTTCTTCCATTTCTATAGCATTTATATCCTCCTAAAAGAAAATGAGCAAAGGAGGGAATCAATGAAGATCAACCCACATCAATATAAAAAGTTAAAGGCTAGACATTCTGTATAGGCCTTAATGAATAAACAGAACATCCGCGATAACAAATCTAACAATCTGAAGTTAAACAGTGAAAAATCAGAGACAAGAATGACAAATCAGCAATGAGTGGTAAACACAAGTATTGTCAAACCTACAATTTAAACGAACCTTAGTGATGAGTGGATAAGGGATCAGTGGAGCAACTGGAAATCTGCGGAAAATCTGCGAAAAAAATCCACCAAGAATTTTTTTAAAAAAGAAAAACAGAGCTCGTACTATGCTGCAAAGCAATGCCCTATACATTTGTGATGTGAACAATACAGTGCTTCTGTGATGCTTTCTCGATTTCAAATTACTTGAGAGTAAAAGTGGTTTCACTCTCTTTACAATAAATCTGATCACAAACCTAGAGACTCCAACACCCCAAACAATGGAAATATAGAAGGTGATCTCATAGCAGCAGGGCTTTCTAATCATACCAACAATATTTACTCACAACTCCTGCCACAGAGGAAGATTTAATTATCTCCTCCCAATCCATATCAAACAAATTATGTTTAGCTACTTTTCTCCTTTCCCATTAATGAAGAAAAACGAAGAACAAACTCTACAGGCCTCAATTACCCTCCTCCTTACTGACCCTACCAATTACCATTCCTAATAGAATACACCTCATTTGAAAAGTTCTACGACCAAATGAGGAAATACATGCCAAATAATAAAAATGTATTTAGCCACAAAGAAAACTGAAGGCGGCCAAAAAAGGCATTGAACTGTAAAATAATGTAAACTATAACCATCCCTTCATAACTAGTTATATATACTGTGTAGTACTTTTTTATGACATAATGCATGCATATAAAACACCTTATGCCAAGTGCAGTGGCACACACCCATAGTCCCAGCACTTTGGAAGGCTGAAGTAGGCAGATCATTTGAGCCCAAGAGTTTGACACCAACTTGGGCAACATGGTGAAACTCCATCTCTACAAAAATTACAAGCTGGGTTAGGCCGAGCGTGGTGGTTCACGCCTGTAATCCAAGCACTTTGGAGGCCAAGGGGTGAGGATCACCTGAGGTTAGGAGTTCAAGACCAGCCAGACCAACATGGTGAAACCCCGTCTTTATAAAAAAAAAAAAAAAAAAAATTAGCTGGGTATGGTGGCACATGCCTATAGTCCCAGCTTCTCAGGAAGCTAAGGCAGAAGGATCACTTTAGGCTGGGTATTCAAGGCTACAGTAAGCCTGACTATGATGCTGCACTCCAGTCTGGGTGACAGAGCAAGACCCTGTCTCAAAAAAAAAATAATAATAAAACATTGGCCGGGCACGGTGGCTCACGCCTGTAATCCCAGCACTTTGGGAGGCCGAGGCAGGTGGATCACGAAGTCAAGAGATCGAGACCATCCTGGTCAACATGGTGAAACCCTGTCTCTAGTAAAAACACAAAAAATTAGCTGGGCATGGTGGCGCGTGCCTGTAATCCCAGCTACTCAGGAGGCTGAGGCAGGAGAATTGCCTGAACCCAGGAGGCGGAGGTTGCGGTGAGCCGAGATC